TGAGCTTGCCCGATTTTCCGTAGGAGAGTAGTTCCTTCACCAAAGCGGCGTCGACGCTGTCACGAGCAATGGAGGCGCCGACCTTGGCTGCGACGTGCGCGACGGCGTCGGCGGCGGAGAGGAGCTTCGCTGGGGCGGGGTAGTCAAAGGCAGTGGTCTGGATAGCCATGTTGGAGTAGCAGGTCGTCGAGACGCAGAGGGCGGCGCCGTTGAGCACGCCGTCCTTGTTGGAGTCGTAAAAGTTATCCTTGACATAGCCGCGGAAGTTGGCGTTGCCACGCGTGAAGGCCGTGACGGAGGTCGAGGGACCAGAGATGAAGTAATTCTGGATGATATTCACGTAGCTCGCGCCCTCGGAGTCGCCCGCGATATAGCCGCCGCCACCGCCCCAGTTGTACACAGCATTGTTGATGAAGGAGTTTACGCCCTTTACCTTGGGGTTGCGCGTCTTGTTGTCGATGTAGAGGTTGCGGAAGAGGGAGACGCCGCCCTCGTTCGTCTGCATGAGCCCGCCGCAGGAGTGAGTTTCGAGCCCCTGGCCGATGATAGAGTCCGCAATGGTGACGTTGGAGACGTCGCCGTTGATGGAGAAGGTTTCGTCGCGGCCCCAGGAGACAGAGACGTGGTCGAAGATCATGTTTTTGCCGTCGGCGATAGTAATTGCGTCTTTGCCTGAGTCGCCGCCCTTGCCCATGCGGATGCGGATGTAGCGGACGATTCCCTCGTTGGCATTGGACCAGGAGAAGCCGTTGCCGTAGACTGTGATGCCCTGTATTGTTTTTTTTTTGGTCTTAGTTGCTCGTCGTCATGTTGCGTTCAAGTTCGGATTCAGTGGTCACTTACACCGCCAGGAGCTGTCTGTCCTGCAATGTAAACATTCTTGGACACCACGATCCGGGCGTCAATCTTGATGACGCCGCCTACGTCGAATACGACGATTCGGTTGGGTTGAGAGACGGCATCACGGAGAGATCCCGTGCCGGAGTCACTGTAGCACAGAACAAAAGTCAGAGAGAGTCCTTATTTAGACACCTGGGGCTAAGTGGTTTGAGTACTTACTTGAGATTGGTAACCTTGTACACCGTTCCAGTCCGACCACCAATCGCATTTCGGCCGAATCCTTCGGCGCCAGGGAAGGCTGAGGGAGCGGCGTCGGCACGTTCGACGACTTTAGCCGGAGTAACGGCAGTACCGGTCCAGTCGACAGCGGGGAGGGCGGCCGCGCCTTGGTAAAAGATGGCGGCCGCGGCCAACAATGTCGCGGAAGCCTTCATGGTGTGTATTGGATCGTTGGAGGGTGGGAAGGTCGAAGCGAGTGGTGGGGGGCTAAAGTGAGAAAAGGCGAAACGGAAGCGAATGTACCAGACAATCCCGAAACCAAACAAATGGGTTTGGGTAGAAATGAAGCTTGAAAAGAAGCTATAACAAGGGGGGAGCCGAAAGGATGGAATGGATGGAACAGCACGCGTAGCAGGATAGCGACGAGATCTCCAAGACTTCAAGAGGAGAACCCAAAGCCAAAAGATGGGACGAAAAAAGGAGTCTTGGGTTTAGTTTTGTAGGTTTCGTTTCTTGGTTGCTTATGTAGCACTCTTGATGGACAGCTTCTTCGCGGTGATGATCCACCGGGATGGGTGGTGTGGTGGTTGCTCAGGGGTGGTGTCTTGCTTGTCACCACCCATCCCCATGATCCATTCCGCCTTGTCAGTTTACGGGAATTGGAAAGGGGCGTGTATGCACATGGGGGCGGGACGGAGGTCAGCGCCTGTAGGCTGTTGGTGGCATTGAGCCATACATCGGTCGTGGTAGCTGGTTCGGGGATGCTTGGCCGCACGGGAGGTGATGTAAAGAAGCATAGAACTCTTGCACCTGGTGTATTTTTTTCCGTTTCCATTGATCTAGTCCCGGTGATCACCTCCCAGTGTGAAGTGACTTACGGAGGATTCAGACAATTCGATCCATTGAGCACATCTAGCCTGCCTGATTCGGACTACAAGTAGATGGATGTATCTAGAGACGATTGGTGGGAAATGGGCAGAAAGTTTGAGCTCCCAAGGGGGACGGCGGACGGGAGGCGTCCTCCGAAACGGGCAGAAATGGTGGGGAATCCCTGGCGTTTGGGTGATATTGAAGGGGCAGAGGACGGAGCCACTCGGGGCCGGGGTGTGGTGGACTCACGGCGGACGGCGGAGGATTTTTGGTTTCTCAGGTTGATGATGGTTGCCGGAGAGTTGTTTTGCAGTTACATGGTGGACATTAGCTTTGTTTGTGAGATACGAGTGCGCAGAGTGCGAGGCTATTCTTACCTTACAAGGAGGCCATAGGTAAAGTCATACGGTGGAATGGGTTAAAGGGGGAAGCTCTTCGGCCTTGCGCATGTCCCATTCCCATACTACGTACGAATACCCGGTACACGCCTACGGTGGTAAATCTGCAAAGTGAGATGCTGGATTAAGGTTGGATTAGGATGCTACTCTGCATCTTTCGGCCGATGACTTTCCCACCTGTCACACGTCATTCTCGATAGTGTCATACATGATTTGTCCAGGTCTGTGATGCGTCCATCGTGAAAACCGATAGCCTACAAGAATGAGAGCTGATGACTTGAAGGCCCTTCTCTCGTGACTTGGCTTTCCTTTTTGACAGTTACGATCGGAATCACAGTCTGAAGGGGTAGGTGACAAAATTGCTGTGAACACGACACACTTCACCATCATCTCATCGACGCGTTCTTGCGATGAGTAAGACCCGAAGCCATCACCTCAGGCGGCAAGCCTCTAATATCAAGGTTTACGGTTCAGATTACTCCATGAGGGTTCATCACGCCTTACCTGCCATCCGATCTCACTTCAGACGCTGTGGCCAGTGAATGTGGCTCATTCGAATTTGTGGCTGAGCGAGACTTCCTCATTCCGACAACCTTCGGAATCTCACTCAATCTGGTCAACCTTGACTCGCTTGGTGAGATGTGAGTGAGTGCGGCGATTGGCCTTCTCGCCGAAAAAGCTTTTGTCACCTTGGGCATTTGCTTGGCAAAATCGGACAGCTCGTGCCGGGGGAAGCTTGGGGACCGTCTTGGCCGAGGCGAGTGAAACGGCAGCATGGCAATTGGAGCGTTGAGAAACGCTAAGAAATCCCCAAAGCAACAGCTAAGAGACTGCTCCGTACTTCGTACCTACGGAAACATAGGTAGGTAGTATTACCGTAGCTAGAGAATGGGAGCGGCGATGTCGGAGGCAGGGGAGACGTTGCGGTCAAAAGATGGCACTGCGGAAAAAACCCTTTTCTTCCCCAAATGCGCTGTGGTCACAAGCCGTTTGCTTGAGTCACGTGGCTGAGAGATGTCGAAGCTCTCGACCGACTCAGTTTCCCTTGCACATACGCACACGCGCGACAGGTTTGGTGTGGTTGGGGTAGTGAGACAGCATAAAGCGGGTGAGGAAGCTGGGGCACGTGTTCTTCAGACTTAGGTATGTCGATCTCTCGAACACAAGAAACAGGACTCATTGCTCTGCTGAGTAAATTGTTGAGAATTGACTGTGTTGACCGAGGCTACTATTCGAGACTCACGAATAAAGGGCTTGAATGAGAGATTGATGCCTCTGCTTGAAAACTACAGCTAGAGCTGTTATGCGGCTGGACGATGTTGTTCAAGGCAGAAGAACAGCGTCGGACGGATGCAGTGCGAGGTAGCTCTGGGCCTGCCTCTGGGCTTGCCTTCACTAGAGCATTGCAGAGTCGACGTTTGTGACGAGGGTTGCTCAGCGGCTGACGGTGTTTATTCATCGGAAATTCCTGAACTCATGAGCCAGGTCTTTTCCGGGCGGTTTCCATTGATTACTTTACTTTACTTCAAGGTCGGGTAATGGGTAAGCGCAACCTGCCGGTGATAACGGCCTTTGCCGGTCGACCGTTCGCACCTCGCCTACCCCTCACCTCGGTACTGGACGTGACATGCATCGTAGGCCTCCAAAACAGCCTCTTATTGGAGTTATCTGCCAATGCGTACTTTGGTATCCAATTTGATAAGTAAAGATATCAGAGAATCAGAGAATAGAATAATATGAACAACTGAATTATCATTACCGACAAGGTAGGAAGCCCCGAAAACGGAGATGCCGGGCCTGGAGCAATTCGGCAATGGTACCGGTCTTTCTCCGATGTGGCCGATGTACAGCCCCGCCAATCACAGAGTATCCCGCGGCGGGGTGCTTGGATGACTAAACCTAAAGTACCCTCCAGGTAGGCAGCCCCGCTAACCCCTCGATGCGAAGCACCTGCGTCCCGCCTGCACCACCAACTGCGACGAAGGCCGTAACGCCGCACTGCCGCAACGCTGTCCCACGCACCCACGCACTTCCCTCTCCCACTTCCAGTCTCCCACTTCATTCCCTCCCCCCGGGCCTTTGCGCTTGTTCAGAACCAAAACGAGATATTTTAACCCCCCAGAAGAAGGGCAGACTCAGTGTCATTCTTAACCTTAGTCACGCAATCCCCGTCCGGAACACAGAAACTCCAAAACACACCCCTCAGCAACCAGAAACGTCCTTTTTACCGTCATCCCAAGAAAAACCTCCAAGCTCACTGTTCAATTACTTTGGCCAACGTCAACCATTCAACAAAAGAAAAAAAGTACGCTTTTTATCGCATTTCATACTTGATCTACCATCACTGCATGACGTACTCGGCGCGAGGCTGACCAATTCCACCTCTTCTTTTTCTTCACAGGCAGATCCCGTCATTCTCCGTCCCCCGTCCCCTTCCGCCCGCTGCTGCCTTTGGCCCAGGCACCGACCGAACCGATAGCCACATTCCGAGACACCGAACCCCTCAAGGAACATCACGGAGCCCTCGCCGACCTTCCCTTAGCTCCTCCCCGCCCTATCCATAGTCGATACCCATTCTCTCCTCTCACAGGACCTCCTACCATCCAACCTCGTCATCCGACCGACGACCGACGACAGAGACCCAGCAACCCAAGGGAATAGAACAAAAAGTTGATGAGAGCTGGTTTCCGGCTTTTCTCGCCCCCAGCCTACTACCACCGTCCGCCGACCTCTCCTCTCCGGCGTCTCAGCACGCCGCGCAGCAACAACCCCTTCGCCGCGTCCATCACCGCCGCCGCCCGCCCGCGAACCCTCACAATGGTCGCCACCCCGGAGGAAATCGAGGCCATGGCGCCCCCCGGCTACTCCTTCCCGGAGCACCGCCTCCGCCTCCAGCAATCCGAACCCGACCGCGAGCCCCTCGTCCTCGTCGCTCCCGGCTCCTACAGCCCCATCACCTTCCTTCACCTGCGCATGGCCGTCATGGCCGCAGACTACGTCCGCTACAACACAAACTTTGAGCTCATCGGGTCCTACCTCTCCCCCGTCTCCGACGCCTACAAGAAGCGCGGCCTCGCACCCGCCTGCCACCGCCGCCGCATGTGCGAGATCGCCGCCGAGCAGACCTCACGCTTCCTCATGGTCGATCCCTGGGAGGCCGAGCAAACGGCCTACGTGCCCACCGCCCTCGTCCTCGACCACTTTGAGCACGAGATCAACGTCAAGCGCGGCGGCTGCAACGGTAAGCGCGTGCGTATTGCCGTGCTTGCTGGCGCCGACCTGATTAACACGATGAGTCAGCCTGGCGTCTGGTCACCTTCTGATTTGAGACATATCCTGGGTGACTTTGGTGCTTTCGTGCTCGAGAGGGCTGGTGTAAATATTGACGAGGCACTCGGTAATCTTAAGGAGTACGAGGACCAGATCTACTACATTCCGCAAGTCGTTCCCAACGATGTTTCGAGTACCAAGATTCGATTGTTGCTGAGGAGGAATATGAGCATTGACTACGTGAGTTTTCCAAAACGTTATTGCAAACGTCTTGAGGTACCCAACGGCTAACATATATCTAGCTCATCCCTGCTGAAGTCATCAAGTACATCGACGAGCACGGCCTCTACAACGAAGACGACACAGCAACAAACGAGAAGGGAAAGGAGAAAGAGGTACAATAAGAATGATTTTCGATTTCTTCTAAAATGCTGAACGAAAGGTTTTTCGGACAAACACCCCGTGGGAGTTTGTAGAAAAGAAAAAAGAGGAGAGAGCGAGACAGATGCGAGAAGCGAGGGACATGATCCCAGATCCAGATGAGACAGAAAGATCAAAGAGCAAAGAGGAGGAGAAGCAGGGGAACAACTGGCGTGGTTATCAGCGTTTGGGTTTTATGAGACGACGGCACAAAGTCTATCCATTTCATCAACTGTTATATTTTTTTTCATGGGTTTAATTAGGTGCATAGGGCGGGCTTTGTTATGAAGAGCGAGATATCTATATCTTGAACTACAGGGACTTCTCCCATTGAACAACCAAAGAGTCTGCATCCCCTCGTTGGGGCCGTTAAAGCCTATTTTGTTTTCAACCAGGTCGTTGACTATCGAAGTCTTGAATCATGATATTTAGTATCCGGCGGTCAGAATCCTGAGGAAGGGTGTTCACAGCAGGGCGGGCTTGCACAAGACCGCCGGAAGTAGACAACAGCGCGACGTTTCCAGGCATAAGCGACTGATTAGGAGCCTCGATAGGTGGCTGCCATGGTTCGATGGGTATGCCAGGCTTACAATTGGTGTTCAACAGCCAAAGTGGCACTTCAAGGGTGCTATCTACAGTCTACCTGAACCAGACCACCCTCTCCACAACCGCTGACAAAGTCGCCAGGCCCTTGAGACGAGGCCCAATGTACGCATTCATATACATCGTCTTTCTTTTCTGGCCTCTACTATCATGTGATGGCCAGTTGTCTCGAAACTGCCTATTCTGCGATTCGGATCGCGCTCTCATCGTCGAGATACCTGACAATATCTGTGATGGGAGGCCAGTGGCTGAGACTCCCAAGATTATAAGGCTTCCAGTCAAAGTTTGCGTTTATCTTCAGGTTCCTCCCCCCAGGATCCATATGGACGGAAATCTGGAAGCGGCAATGCCGCGTAATGGGATTGTTGCCAGCACCTGTGGTGATGATGTCGAGAAGCATAAAGTCACCCCGTCTTAGCTCGAATTCAGAAGCAAAGTACCTAAGCGTGAGCTCATGGACACAGATACTCCCGATTATGGGCAGCTGACAGAGGGTGCAAGTGCCGTCCTCGGTCGTGAGGCGGCAGTCCATGCCGTCGTCGGAAGCGTAGCGAGGCTTGCAGACTACATGCATTCTCGAACCGGGGCAATGACTTCAAGAAGTTTTAGGAGCATGTCTTACAGAGTCTTGTTGTTCCGGTAAAGATGGTCAGCGACGATGCTCTAGCCTTTTGGCGATGTGACCGCGTTTCTGGCAGACCAATGCTATCACTTTGCCGATATTCTTGAAGTTCTCGTCAATGTGGGGTGGGATGCCTTCTCCAGAGCCAAAACTCTCCAGGGATTCTCTCTGCCCTTCATTTTGTTCTGGAAGATAGACTGCATATGGTCGGCAACATATCTTGGGAATATTGATGCTGGCGGTTCGCCGGAGGAAAGCCTTGTTATGTTGATAGATCAGGAACTTGATCTGCAGGTGCCCTCCAGGTGGTGACTAAAGCCGCTATAACGGAGGTCATCCAGGAGGCTGGTGACTCTAGGGAAGTCGCGGCCAATGCTCCTTACGAGCACGTCCGGGTCGGAGACGTCAACGACATTCTTCTTGCTGTTTCTGTCCTCGTAGCCCAGCGTCACACGGGCGGACTCGGTGCCACCGTCAGTGGCGAGTTTTTCAAGTAGCTATCTTAGCTTCAGATAATCCTAAATTGGGATGGAAGAGGATACCGATCCCAGCTTCAATCTGCGGAACATTGGACCATTTCTGAAAGGCCCAGGATAGACGCCTGACTGAATAGGGAGACCGATCATGGCCATGATTTAGCAGATCGACAACGAACAGATGATAGTCCACAAAGCCTGGGACCCTCCTGAGAAGGCAGACAAAGGCGTTGCCGCGTTGTTATAGAGAAAGGGCGAATTTCGGCGTCGTCTATAGGCTACGTTAATAGAAGGAACTACTTCATCACAGGAAGAGAAATTGAAGGCCTCGGAAGACTTTCTCGGAAGAAACAAAGAGCCTATCTTCGGCAAAAATCAAGGGTTTACAGTCCCCTCTTATTAGTGACGGTTTCAGTTTGTTTAGAAAGTTGCAAAGAACGTGATGGAAAGCTAGGAAGGTCAAAGAGAGGAATAGTAGAAACCCTCTTCAGACGCTTTCTTTTGGATGGGGAGTCTCCGTTGAATTTGGTGCACGTCACCAAGGGAGCACTCGGAAGATGGCAAGACGAGGGCATTCGACGTCAAGGGCTTGCGACTATGTGTCCGTGACCGGTGAAGTCTTCGAAGAAAAGTGAAGAAGGGGAATATATCCACTCACATTAATTTCACTCTTATATTCAGTACAATACAACACAGTAAGGGATCTTAGTGAAGTAGTTAGGGTAATTCGAAGTAGTTAAATTGAGTGTGTGGAATAAAACGTCCATTAGACGAATTGGACAAGCCCCTAATTTACTCTGTGAGATTCTTGCGACCCTTATAGATTTTCACTATCGGGAAGCTTTAGAGGAGTGATTTAGATCCTCTTGTATACATAACTGATCCTAAGTGACTGCGATTATACCGAGACATTCATTCTCTTGGAACCAGGTTCACGGCGGATATGGGAAGTAGACCTTGAACAACTCGAAGCAACAACCCTATTCCCAAGTCACTTTAAACATCATGAAAATTGAATTGCATATGCATTTGAAGAATTGAAGTAACATTTGACTTTGAGCGTAGTCTGATGACCCATCTTGCCCTCTCTGTATCTTAGGAGCCAAACACCGGAGACCGATAACAGCTTTACGATGACTACACCGTCATTGCAAGTTGCGCAAACTCGCAACTCTGAACCTATAAACAGAAGCCCCCTTCGCTGGATTTTACGACTCTACAGAGCTATACTAATAAACTCTGCAGGTTCTGCAGCTCTAGAAATTCAAGACCATTTGAATCATGAACATTTCAGGAAGCTCTGAGCAGAGGAACATTTGCTCGAAAATATGACAGAACGGACATTAAGAGACGGGCTTAAAGCATTTTCTTCAAACTGTTAGCCTAAAAAATAGCGCTGAATAAGTATAAACCTATTGAAAATTGGTCACAGGGTTCAGGAGACGATCATGTTGTGGTCACTCAATTGGATTGAAAGAGCTTATGGATGGGCTGCTACGACTTTTAAGCCCAAGTGAATTAATTCCAGACACAACCCTTCCACGAGAGAGCCCGAGTTATTCAAAAAGTTTATACAAAACTGAAAACATTCAACTTTCCATAACCGAGTCTCTTCGCATTGGAGAATCTCTTCGCATAATGTTGGCAACTTTTGAGACCGAATGCGAAGATGATATCTATGTATTTTCAAAGCCAGAAACGACGCAACATCAGGATATTGGAAAATTGATTCGAAACATGATTCTAATCCAGTGATCATATCGTTCGTTAAAGCCACATTTTACACATACCGCGCCAGAACATAAACTCATAGGTAATCTTTTGGGTTCAGCCAAGGCATCTCACATGGCTTTCCAGGGTCCAGTATGAGGATGCTCGCTAGTTTTCGTTCTCGTCATCATCAACGTCCAAACGCTCGTAACTCCCAAACCAGTAAGCGTCAAAAACACACCAAACCCAACACACAACATCTCCAACTCGGCCCCAAACCTAGAAACCACATGCAGACGCAAGACCGGGGGGGAAATATCGAGCCAATGATACTTCTACTACCCACTTTCTCAAGAAACTTAGGAGTTAAGTCCGCCGGGCAGGATTGACTTTCCACTGGACCCCTTCACACAGAATCGTCCATCCAGTGAATATCCCCAGGAGCCTGCCAAGCGGACAACACGCACATTTGCACATGCAAGACGCAGGCCCAAAGTGTAATACCCCAAAAGCGTCAGCATGACCCCTCTGACTACCTTACACTAAACATGCTCATCCTCTTGTTGGTTCCCAGCATCGAACCCTTGGGACCCCTTTCTCCAAACCATGAGGAGGGAGTGAAGTCGTCATAACATGATACCGCTACAAACATTGAAACTTCCCAACCATCCTTCGAAGAAATCCCACTCATCTCACCCTGCTCTGTTGGATGAGGGATAGCGTATAATGTTCTCCTTTCATTCTGACTGAACGTGGGCAGTCTTGATCTCATCTCAGCGTGGGAAAACTCAACCACGAAACTCACTACAGTCACTCAAACCATCAAGTCTGAAGTCCCGCGCGCTTATCCCACATTTTCATGACGCGTATCACCGTGGAAGCAAACTAAACCTAGATGCCGATACTAACACCAACCAGCCAACCAAGCGGAAAGGAAAACCTATCCGAAGCCATTCATCCCACCAAGGACAATACCTCCAGAAAATGCAGGCGCGATATACGTAGACAAGGTAAAATCCACATCTCTTGTTTGAAGGGGCTTCACTCGCGACGCCTTCGACGCCGTTGACGCTTCTCCAGAGGTAGGAAGATCGTTGCCTACAACAATCGTAAAGTTTCCCACTGCATACGGCGGGGATGGGGGGAGTCAACGTGGAAACCCCAACATCCAACTCTCATGGAACCACCTGGATGAAATCCTCCGAAGAGAGATTACATAGAAACAGTCATGGAGAAAAGCTGCTAAATCGCTTGTCTTCGATTTACCCACCTGGGCCACCACCAGCTTTGGGCTCAGACTGTCAGCTGAGTCAAGCTTTTAAAAACCCATTGGGCCACTACTACGTTTGAAGACCGTTCAACGTTGCACTTGCGACTCGATACCAGGTTTTCCCCATTTGAAAAACCGGAAACACATGTACGGGTTGGCTCGTTACGATTTGCAAAACTTACAATAAACTTCTGACTCTCCACAACATATCGATGTACGGCTGTTTGAATCTCGTATGCCGGAGCCGGGAATTGGAATTCTGGCTTGCAGATACTCTCCCGGTGAGTAGTACCTGGGAAAATCCACGTGGGGTCATGAGATTGCCATTGAAGAGATTTCCCAGTTTCTTTGTTCTCCATGGTTACGCGGGGTCGACGCGAATCTCACGCAAACGCCAGAATTTCAACGCGTTCCTTTTTGGGGATCCAGTTCTTTTGGCCGAATAATTGGATCGTCATCTGCAGTCTGTACTCTGTTCCAACAGGAATTACTGGGGCCCGGTTCAGCAAAATCCCGGACAGCTTCCGAGTAAAGTAAATGTCTGCACGTGAGATACTTCGTACGGATAATGCCTTACCGCGCCCGACCGCCGAGAAAGGATCCAAGGCGGCGAATGCTTTTGGGTAGGGAGGCGGCGAGCAAATACACGTTGTTGGTGGGGTGGCACAGAGGAGCTGGTCACGATCCAAGGTTGACGTTGCGACGTCCTCTGGCGGGCAGAAACGCTTAACTTACTTACTCACCTCGTGGCAACGGAAGAAAAAAGAGGCGAAAGCAGAAAAAGCCAAGTCGATGTGCACCAAGGCGGCGCCACGGCACCGGATGGCAAAAGGCAGGGTGACGACGGTAACACGAGAAACGGGGACTCGCGAAATCGCCGTTGCCTTCCTCCGCCGCCGCCGCCGGGTAGCAACTCTGTGACCAACTCGCAAACTGGGCTTTGGTCCCGACGGGCGGGGGAAAAGAAGCAAGAAACAAGGGAGATTGCGCGTCTACGGTCATAGGAAGTCGCCGTCCGGTCTCATCTGACCCGTTCCGTGGCCCCGGCATTCATGCCGTCCGGGACGCGCTTGCATGTGGTTGTGTGGAATGTGATGTACGGTGAACCCAATCCCAACAAGTACGGCGGAGAAGAACCAGGAACCACGAGTGTCTAATCAGGACGACATTGTGCCCGAGAGTCGCTAGGGAGAAGGAGGGACAATAGATACAACCGTGCGATAAGGTGACCTGCGCGGGAGACGAAACATGGCACAAACGATAATGCAGGGAAGCCGCTGACACTGGTGGGCGGCAAGAGGAACGGCCATGATCCCACTATTATGTTGCCTGTGGTCCGAATTTCGTAGGATATCCCGGGTCTCTCCCCGGCTTGGGGGCGGAGCAGAACGGTTTATGCGGTGTTAGTCTGGTGGTCGAACATGCGAATGAAAGGCCTTTCTGTCGAATGATCGTGGACAAGTAGGACAGGAGACATCCTGTTCCTGATATGTCCT